ATAACCACACCGGCACTGAAGGCCATCAACACGGGACAGTGCAATAAACAAACAATATTTAGAATAGCACTTACCAATGAAATCATAAAATAGTAGTGAGCTTCTTCCACTTCAGCACCATCCCCAGCGTTATCTCATTAAATGTATTTATATAACGAATTTTCTTCAACATATAAGGTAGATTATTTATTCCTGGTTAGAATAACGCTTTCAATAACATCAATGTCTTATCCCACTACAGTACACTCAGTGGTAGCAACGGCCTGGGTATTGTGGGCGGATAATAAAATTCCGGCGCCATTAATAATATTTTCTCATAACTGTCGAGCTTTTATTTGGTGATACTCTGCCACTCGTTGTGGTTTCGCAAAAAGGGATTCATAACGGGACATAAAGATCGCTATTAAAGTAACTGCACCTCTTAAAATCGAGGACTTACGGTACAGACATATTGCTGGTGCTTAAATGATGCCGCAGTTGGTACCTGAATTTGTTTTTGTTTTGTTTGTTTTTGTTTGGAGCGTCTTCAAAGATCTGAAAAACGCCACAAATGAACTTCGCAGAAACGTATTTAATGACGTATTTAATTATCTCGGGAATAATTATTCGGAATAAAGTTGGTCTCATTAGGTTCGGCAAACTGTATTAACTTGAATAGAAACACGGTAAGAGGCTTACCGTGTAAGTAGCACAATGGCGCGGGGCTTTGGTTAATTAAGTCAAGTGGCTCGTCTGGCGATATTAAATGTATACATTAGATATCGCATATTGTTTGCATGATGCGGACATCCATGCCCAACTGAGTGCAAAAACTAAAAGAAGAACAAAAACTAAGAGAAGCCAAGTCTTAGGGCAAGTATACCAGATGAGTTCAAAAAATTATCCAACCTTTTTTTCTCTTATATTTGGAAGTCACAATCGCAGGGACCCGGGATAAACCCCCTACTGACGCTATAGCATCAAACACAGCGTCTTGTTTATTTATCCTCCTATACGGCATAGAGGTGCTAAAACTCGTCCTTAGCAAGTATTGGACAGCTAAAAACGGTCCGTTGTGACCTTCATTAAGGCAGGCGATTTCTCGAAAACGACGGGGGGCCATTTGCATTGTTTTCGGAAACAAATGGATTTTTTGCGGGGTTAACCTCCCCAAGCGCTGTTTGTAATGCTTAAGTGGGTCGAAAAAACAGTGCGAAAACCCCTGGGGACGTGTAAAATGTATGCGCATACATTTCCTTTCATTTTCGCGACTGGGGGAATTTGGTTTTTTGCCAGTCGCGATGTCAGCTTTTTCCTGCGCAGGACTGGAATGGACGGAGATTGCGTTTCCATAGGAAAACGTCAGTTATTTGACTTAGCAACTGACTTTTGAAAAAGAAGTTACTGTAAATGGCACATCAAGCGAACAACAAGCCGTGAATATATACATATACTTAATTTTTCAAAGTTTCAGTTTCAGTCAAGCTCTGAAGAAGCCAAAACGATGATTGGCGAAACGTCAGCAATTTCGACTAAGCAAAAACCGACGCAGAAGGAATCCAGAAGTTTTGTAAAAAGCAAATACGTATACTTATTTCCTTTTTACGGAAGGGATGAAAAATCCTGCTGCAGTTTTTCATTTCAATACGAATTAACAAGTGAAAACGTATATTCTTTTCGTCTTTTATATCGTAATAATATGTGGGAACAGAAATCTTCGAAAACTTTCTGTAAAAATCTCGCAAAAAGCTATTTCTACCGCGCTGTATCTGATTTCGGCGAAAACGTATGGCCGCACGTGGCCATGTTTTACCGAATACATATTTACGTTTCTATTTGCATACGCTGGCGTCTGGATACGCGGACCGATCCGCAGGGGATATTTGAAATTTAAATTAAATAATTTCACACAGCTCCGCGATTTTTTAATGAATCATTGAGCGTACATTCGGTTCCGGAAGGTGGGGTTTTGAATATGAATTTTTGAGTTTGAAAAAGGGGCCGATACCGTATATCATGAATTTTAATATCGGGCTTCGGTCCCTCATTTTATGAGAATAATTTTATTGAAGAAAACTGCTAATTTATAAACATATTTTTTCTACTCCCTTCTACGCAATTATACACCTATCTCGCTTACGGCAAGTGTCATTTTACGACGTTAATTTTGTTTCCTATGGCCGCACGACACTTCGAACATTTCTGGAATATTACCACAGAGGTTTGGGATGAATCGGCTGTTTTCGAAAATATTACCTACGTTTTGAATTTTGACGTTTTCTAATTCTGACCGTCATGTCAGTGAATATATTTGTCTTTGGTAATTTTTAATAGTAATAGTTGTAGAATGAGTTTAGTAAACTCACATGCTGTTTACCACACTTGTTGCACAATATACTAATATACTATTTATACCGATTTACAAAGAAAATAGAAGCCTAGTACCTTCAGTTGATATTTAAATAATAATGTCATTCCAATAAGTTACAAACATTACAAATTTTAGATAACATTTGGATAATATTTTATATATGTATATAAATTATGGATGTTCATTTGATTTTCTTAAGTATCCACGATTTATTCGCCAATTCTCTAAAAAATTGTAATACGTTTAAAGGAGTACGGTTTCTCCATGATATATCACTACCTCTTTTCAAAACCTAATGTTTAAACATATCCCAATACTCATCCACTACGTGCAATCCGATCTATAGTGAGTATGGCGATTGGATAGAGAGTTTGCAAAAAAGGCTTTTTTGAAACCTAATTTTTAAATATAATTACTTTTATAAGTTGAGATTGATGTCAGTTTTCTTTATAAAATTGTCAAAAATCCCAATATTAAGTCTATTAATATTAAAATTATAAACAATAATAAATAAATAAAAAATATAAATTCTCTTCAATTAAGGATAGCTGAAAGATAGTAAATAATGAATGGATGTTTATACTATTAATATACACCTTAAGACTTTTTAATTTTTCTCTACGGTGCCAAGTTTAAGCGGAACATCATCGGCTTTACGGCTCAGGACCGCCTGTATTATACTACTCGCCACGTGCCCGCTATAGTCACGTGTAATTTGAGTGAGGACTTCACTTGAACGATCCTCTCGCGTTTCCGGTAAAATCGCTCCCGTCATTAAACCGAGCCTCCGGAACGGAGTAAAATCTCATTTGTCGGACGACACAGTGGAATCGTTCACGGCGATACCGGTGAACGGTTCATTAGAAAACCGCAGGAATACCACCACGCAACGTTGCCAAATGTTTGCGGTCGTCGGCATAGTTATGCGTTCCCGATTGGACTGCAAATTCGGGCCACATCGAACGTCAGGCATTCCAGGCAACCGAGACGGACAACTTCTTATTTACTACTGTTTCGGCTCGCTCGGCAGGTCCGTACACGTAGAAGTAGAGATAAATTGCAAAAGACTGTAAAGTTTAAACGCCCAGTACCATGAAATCAAAGCAATTGCGGACCTGGAACCTCTACTTTGTTGAGTTAGAAGCTATTTTATTGGAAGGAAAACAGATTGTTTTTCTACATTAAATACTTTACTTATTCTCAAATCCTAGTCACATCTGGTATCCCTCAAGGATTCCGTTTGGGCCCTCTCAATAGGTGAAAATATTCATTAACGATATTAACTCTTGTTTCTTACATTGCTAATTTCTTCTCTTTAATAATGATAAAGTTAGTAATGAAAATTGTTTCTCTTGATGATTGTCTTGCACTGCAGAAATTCTATAATACCAGAATTTTCAATAACTGTATCTATCATATTAACAGTATTTCATTGGAGTCTGTGGATGAGTTCAGGAATCTGGAAAACGTTCAGCTTAGGTTTTGTAGATCTAGACACCACAATTTTTTTCTCGATGGCTTGTCAACTCTTTCCTGTACAATCAGCACAAAATCATAAATTCTATAATTGATTGTCCATACTCAAATTTTAAAATACCTTTGCATGTCCGATACAGCAATTTCACACAACCAACTATTCGACGCATCCTTGGACAGTGTTCAGTAGTCAGATGGACATCGTCGAGCCTTTTAGATCATCTGTGAGAGCTGTCATTGGTCCCTCTTTCTAATTGTTTTTCTTTCTCTTTAGTGTTGGCTGAAATTGATAGCCTTATTCTTGCTTTTTTATTATATTATTATTTATTATATTATATATTTTTAGTTTACGCAGTCGAATATCTACTGATTAATGGCGGGATGTAATTATTGGCGGTGGATGCGACAAAGCGGCTCCCGTGAGGCAAGGAGGCCCACCTCAAAAATTAACCAAATTTTTTTTTTTTGTTATTATGATTATAAATTCTGGTTATTTTTACATTTTTAACCCTTTGCGTAATACCAGGGGTAAAATAGACAGATTATAAAATTCGTAACGTTTTTTTTATTAAATACTTTTTAATAAATAATTATTATATGTAACATTATAAATAGGGAGAGTGGGGCAAGACTGCCAGAAGCTTCACCAAAGTTTGGGTAAATTTAGTCAAAAATAAATCGATTTCATTGTTAAAAGCCACAAAAGGTAATAAAAAGCTTAGCTTTTGTTAATTAGAATTTTATGGGGGTACATTTGTAGACGTCGCATGAGCATGCGAATTTCGGGGCGATCAAAATTTTCAACTTGGCCCTTCCCGTCCCATTTATTATTAGTCGGATCGTATGATCGAATGAATACAGAGCGGTGTGAAATATCGCCATTGTTGTCCCTCGCGGAAATAAAAAATAAAATCGTCCGCCCGTCAACGGGATCGATACTCGAAAATTGAATTGTAAAACATCGGAGCCGGATTTATGAGAAACGGAAACTTTGATAAATAAAATCCCGATACGATCCATCATCCGATATAGCTCTGGAAACATACGTCACCCGTGTTTCGAAATTTTCATTTTTGACCGTGTTTACGGAATTTTTGGACGCGTCTCTATACTGCGCAATAAATCATCTCGATTGTTCGGGTCGTCGAAACAAATCGCTCTATTTTGTTTATAGATGGCGATCGTTGTCGTCGCGCAACCTCTAACTACTAGCCCCGAATCCATCGCTCAATGACGACCGATCCGGGTACCAAGATGATTCGAGATCGTGAACCTACACCGTCGACCTTCGATGACTACCAAACCTACCTTCGTCGTGTATCCCCGCCAGGTAAGACTGACTCCCCAGGAACTCAGCCGAGGTCGACAACTTTGGCATCCTTTCAGGGAGCCCGTCAATCAAGAAGTGCTGTTACGACCACAAGGAGAGCTACGCGAAAGAACCAGCGTTCTTCTGTTGCTGCTACTCTTGCCCTGGACCTAAATCTGCGTCCCTATTGGCCACTTTTGGGGTGTGCTGCCTGGTGCTGTGTTACACCCTTATAGGAGCCTTCACCTTCATGGCGTTAGAAGGTATATGGAAAAATTCTATATTCTTCTTATAAAGGGTGATTCAATAAAGGTTTCCCCATTAAAATAAGAGAATATAAAAATATACAAACATTTTTATTTGCCATTTTAGAATAGTGGATTACAATTAGGTATGAAAGATGATGTCATTGAAATGAGCCCCGCTACTCAGGTGGCATGACGTAATTCGTTTATTGAAATTTCCTATCACTTTTTGACACAATTCAGGTTCTATGCCGGCTATTTCGCGTCTAATATCCTGTTTCAGCTCTGTGTTTGGTTTATTTGTATACACTCTGCTTTTTAGATACCCAAAAAAAAATCTAGGGGAGTAAGATCACAAGATCTCGGCGGCCAATTGATATCGCCGTTACGTGAGATAATTCGATCAGGAAACTTGCCCCGCAGCAATTGCATCGATTCTCTGGATGTGTGACAAGTGGCTAAATCCTGTTGGAGCCACAAATCTTCAATGTCCATACCTTCCAACTGCTCCCAGAAAAAATCAGATATCATGTTTCGATAGCGAACACCATTAACCGTAACAGCGTTCTCCGCATTATCCTCAAAAAAAAGGGCCAATTATTCCTCCGCACCAAACAGTCACTTTTTGAGGATGCATTGCTTTTTGCTCAATCTCTCTTGGATTTTCTAATCCCCAAATACGAGCATTGTGTTTGTTTACAAAGCCACCAACGTGAAAATGTGCCTCATCGCTAAAGATGATTTTAGTTGAAAAATATTGTTCTCGTATCCATTCTGCAAACACGCGACGCTGTTGATGATCTCGAGCTTTCAACTCCTGAGTTATTTAGACTTTATATGGATGTAGATGCAAGTCTTTTGTTGTGTGGTTGAATACGTAAGGCCCACTTGCTGCGATCGATGAGGAATCGATGTGTTTGGATCTTCGGCTACACTTTCGCGGACAATGGCAATATTTTGATCTGACCGACCTGCACGAACACGTTGACGGACTTTGAGGTTAGTTACAGATCCAGTTTGCTCAAATTTTTGAGCCACATTCCAAATTGTCGTCTCAGAAAGTCGATTTTGAATCACCCGTTATATTGTCTATTCTTCTGTATTATCTTTGCTTTGCGAGCTAGATACCTTCCCATTGTCTCAGAATGACTCGCATATCTCAAAATTTTGATTTGTTAGGGTTTAGATTTTGTTCCAAGCTCTTTACATTTTTCTCTCATTCATTCATATAAATAATAATAATAGTAATAATAATAATAATAATAATAATATTTTTTGCACTTCGTATCTACATTTATCTGTTAGTAATAAACACACATAGTAAGTTTTGGCCTGACGGTAACATTTTGGGTCAGTACCATGGGTTAATGGCGAAAATTAAAAAAGAAACTGAGTAGTTTTATGTAATTTATTACATAAAAACACTTATAATTAAAAAAACATTTGAAAAACATTGTTATTATTATTCTAAAATCTAAAAATCCTTAAAAAGTATTATATACCTAATCTCAAAAGATTATAAGTGATTATAAATAAAATAAAACAACTGATCAACATTCTTAGTGATTTTTGTTAAAACAAATCTTACAAAAATGAGGGCACAAACAGTGATAACCTGAGAAGCCATTTTTTTTTAGCCCAAATTATTTCGATCTTTGTCTACATATAATGTTCTACCTTCCTCTAATAGGTCCTCGATCAGTTTAAATGTTACATTTTTAGATGCACTCTGCGTCCTATCATCAGTTAGGTCCCTCCCAACATAAATTGATACGTTCCATGTATAATCCTTATCGGTACATAATTTATATAGTTTTATTCCGTACCGATGCCTCTTCGATGGAATATATCGACGAAAACTAAGGCGGCCTCGAACGAATTTCTCGAAAACATTGTCTAATTTACGGTTTCCAGGAACTGCTCGGTCATCAGCAAAATGCCAAAATCTCAGCAGCATCTCAAAGCGGTTTTCTGACATAGTGTTTTTAGGTGGTTGAAAGGAAAATATTTTGCTTGTAGACCAACTTTTACTATGGCCATGCATCCCACCAATCTCATTTCATTTAGGTCAGTTGATGTCCAGTGATTTTATTTCTGAATTGTTTGGATTACGTATAAGTTGGTTTCATCGACCATAATTTGTATTACATGTTTGGTCAAAACAAGTGGGAAAATATGCTGTAGAAGTGCATAAAAGTGCACATAAGCCACTAACACAACAGTATATGCGAAATGGCAGACTTGGCCCGAGGCAATAAAATCTAAAAATGAGCGTGGCAGTGAAAATGATCATAACATTAATACATAAAAAATAAAAAAAACAAAACTGTACCGATCTTATTAATAGAAATCTGCTTCTGCTAATTTTCATTGACTAATAGATTGATTATAAAGAAAAGTTGTACAATTTTGTCTGAAAGATGGGGGCATCAGTTTCGTTACATTACTGGAAACAGCATTATACCATTTGTGGACGCAGTAATGTTTTACGATGCGGGGGAGGAGAAATAAGACCCCTATATCGAAGATCAGTTCGGTATTTTATTTTTTCAAAGGGATATGGAGAGCAATCATTTAATATTATGTTATGGTAAAAAATAGGAATGAATTTTGCAGTCCTGGAAACAATTACTCAAATTGATAGGCCCTAATACTGAGCCTTGGGGCACTCCACACGGCATAGTAACATTACTTGACCCTCCTTTAGATGTTGAAACAAACTGAAAGCGGGCAGTACAGTAACTACGCATAAAATAGGCTGCAGCGCTTGAAAAACCTAAATTGTGCAGTATTGACAATAGAACTTCATGATTGATTTTGTCGAAATCTTTTGAATAATTCCAGAAAATAAGCGCAGAATGTCGTCTTTATATTTAATAGTGCTGACGTTCAGCTGTACCCTTTTCGAAATCCTGATTGCGAGGAGGGAAATAACTGTATAATACTAATACTAATTGATCTTGATTCGTCGATTGTGATACTCTTAGGTAATGGAAGGACCTTAGAAATTCGATAATGCAGCTACTGATTATATTCGTAATAAATTGAGGTATTCAATCAAGGCATATAAGTACCATTTTGAAGTTTAATTTATCCACACCCATCGCAGCAGATTGAATTTCTAGAATATGTCTCCTAACGTCGTTTTATGTTACTGTAGAAGAACCAAGCAATCTATCAAACTCGTTCTTCGTATTTTGTAGTAAATTCTTATTAGGTGGCCATCCAGTACCGCAGTTCTTAATGAAACTTTTTATTAATTTCGTCAGGATTATTTAAAAAGTCAGGAATATCAATTTTGTTATGTTTGTTTACAATGTCAGTTGGTCAGTTTGCTCCATAATTGTTTCGAGTCCGATTTAATTGCAATAATGAATAGCTATATTAGTTTGGTTACGAATCTGTTTGTAATAGTCACAATATGTCCTATTTTTAGTTGTCGTGAATTTTTTATAAGCTTCGTTTTTTAATTTAATCATCAACTTTATGATATCTCTCAATCACGGTTGCTGTATATTACCGACTGTGAGTTCTCTTTCCGGTGCTAATATATCAAGATTATTTTATAGAATTGTATTCAAAAATATATTTTGTCATCAATATTCCTCAAATATAAAATATGGTCAAGTTGGGCTTCAACCAGAGAATTAAATAAAAACTCCCTATCTATATTTTTCTAGATTGATAAGAGTAAAGGTTTTTTCATTAATACGAGTAGCTCTAAAAATTACTTGTTTAAGTTATACGCGTCTATACACTCACTGTAACTACAGAGTAATAAGTAGGGATTATTCAATTGATATTCCTGCGTACACATCATTAACACAATAAAAGTCCGACAGTCTAGTTACAAAAAGTTCTAAAAGAATTTTGAACCTGGAATATCCAGGTGGCTTATAAAGTGACCCAACAATAATAACCAACTGAATCCATATCTCTTCAAAAATATCCTGAATTTCTGTGTGAACAATCGTGTACTTATGAACATTCCTGATATACATAGCTACTTCCCCGCCACCTCTATCATATCTGTCATTATGCAATAGGCTATACCCATTAATTTCCAAGTTTTCTACAGTTCTGAATTTGTTCTTTGATATTTGCAAAATGAGGCAATGATCTTAGGGCATTTTTTTAAAAAACAAAATTAAACTAAAAAAAAAATACTTAGTAGAAATCATTTCCGGCTCCGGTAACTAAAATTCACAACTTCCTGTATCTTCTTCCATCTTTAGTTGAATAGCAAATTACAGTGAAGATCATGCTGGAACACGTGTTTCATGGTCTAATTTCTCTTCTGTGTAGTTTTCTGATCAGGTATAGATAGTATTAATACTACTTACTATTAGTACATGGCTGAAAATACTACTGGTTGGGCAGAACTCGCAGAGCTATCACGTTATATTTACAGATAAGTGAAAATCAACATTCGCAAGTCGGCAGAAAGACCGTATCATCTTCAGCTATGAAAGACACCTCCTTTCTTTTCTTTGAAGACCCGAGAGGAGTTGGCAAAAGAGATCTCCCTTTCTTCTTTCTGAATATTGACATCTTAACAAGCGTCGTTCTTTCAGGCGACTTGTACCACGACACGGCAGTGGCGGCGTCGAAGACTAATCCCGAGTACGACAATACCGCGTTGGCCAACTTGAGGGCGCACACTGTCAACAAATTGTGGAGCATCACGGAAGACCTGAACATACTGTACAAAGACAACTGGACCAAGCTCGCTGCCGATGAGGTGTTGGAGTTTCAAGAGCAGTACTTCATGGAGCTGCGTAGGAGCGGGTACGGCGTGAGGGCGGGCACGGTGGCCTACTACCGGAACCAGTCGCATAAGTGGAGCTTCAGTTCGAGCTTTTTGTATTCGCTCACGTTGATTACGACGATAGGTGAGTGCGGCGGAATGTTTAATTGCGATTTGATTTCAAAGCGAATATGGATTTTTTTGTGTGCTTTTGTGTTCGCATTTTTATTGGTATTTATATGGTTGTTATCGTAACGGGTCGGCGTTTTAAAAGCTGTTGCTGCATCGATCTGTTCGCGGATATACGGGGTTGCTATTGAATTAATGTTTCTCAAAGCTGAATAATCAGTTAATTAAAATTAATGGAGATGGAAAAGAAGGAAAATTAAGTTCGGATATTAGCTAACATCTGGTCTCAAAAAAAAGTGATACCACCCTGCCGAACATTGGGTTGGCGATAGAAAAATAACATTCTCGCTACTGGTGGGAAATATGGCCACATAATTGGTGACTCGAAGGGATCGTTTGTAACCGTCGGGCACTAACAAGAAAAAAAATCGCCTCCCCCGGGGCATTTTGTTCGTTTCCTTATCAGTGGTACACTTGCAAAGGGATAATTCCCTTTCTATGGCAGCTAGACGAAAAGTAAAAAGACATCTATAGACATTTTTTACTTAGAATCCAATGGAGAAGTTAATTTTTTTACAAAAATTGGTGTGTTTTTAAATAGGACACCCTGTACCATTTTACATTATTGTATTGCATCCGCTAGGGGCTTTGCAAATATATATAATACTTTACCATTTGTTTTTTGATTCAGGTCTGTATTCAATATTATAATATTTTAATATGACTTCTTACAGTAGGCCATGAAATGCAAATAAATTATTATTATTATTAAATATTTTATTTAATAACTATACGGCACCATAATTTTATATATTTAACAATTAGTTTTAGTTCAATAATATTAACCTTAATAATATTAATATTAATATATAACCTTATTAATATTAATATTAATATAATATTAATAATTTAATTAATAATGTATCATTAATATTATATTATTAATATTAAAAAGTTTGTTCCAGAAGTATTTTCCTCTCCCAAAATGAGTTTAAATTTGTATTAGTTTAAAAATTGTATTTGTTAGAAAAAAAAAAGGTCTAAATCCAAAATTTACAGCTAAAGAAACTGCTTAAATTGACTTCCATTAGATTTGCATAATATTCTTGTTCTGCGTAACGCATTAAGTAATATAATGGGGCGGGATTGCACATTTCTTAGTTCCCTTTCAGTGGAATGTCGGGGACCTTCCATTGTATGATGCTGATTTTTTTTAAATTTGATTCTGAAGGTAGTCCTTTCAAGCACTGGTAAATCGGGATCCTGGGTGACCATCTTATAGCATCGCGTGTGCCAATCCGATGATTATTAAAGTTATTGTATAAATATGAACTTATGATTTGAGAATTATTTGCAGGAGCTCCGCCCTTTTGAAAAAATATACTCTAAAGCTTCTCAGATGAATAGATAGATTCGTATATACAAAATTTGTTTTTATTTCCAAAATAAAACAGGAAATACTAAAACCGAAGCCGTATTGTTGTTCGTGAGGATATAAAACGTGTTCATTTCGCTGGAAAAAAATAACGACTATTTTTCCTATTTACAAACTGCTAATATAAGGTCATCATATCAATTAATTTTTTAAAATGAACCGTAGATTTTGGAATTCTCCTACAAGAATTTGCAGGGGTTGTCCTAACTGCCGTCAAAACATTAATTTCCCTAATTTTCCGATACGGTTTATTATAAGTTTTTGGCCGAGCTTTGCGAAAAGATCCAAAGTTAATTAGGTTGGTTTTAAGCCTACCAAATATTGTTTTGGATTGCCCCCTACACCATACATTTGGAAAAGTTAAATAAAAGTAAAACATACTCTATTATAAATTATACCTGTGCAAATATACTTAAGATGCTTCATCCGTATTTTCAAGACACATAAAATAACACAGCATGTCATATTTTTCAACATTTTCAAGATCTTCGTGGACAGCCATAATATTTAGAACAATTTAATCAACAAATTAAATGTCTTAATAAAATTTCGGAAACAATATTCATTACTTTTTGTAACATTGATATTTCGACAAAGTGTTTTTTTTGTTTCGGTTATTCAGAAAGCGGATGCAATAAATTGAGGTAAAATTATACAGGATTTAATATTAAAAAAAAAAACAAAACTCAGTGTCATAATTCAAAAAATAACAAAATCTGAAAAAATAGTTGCTCCACTGAAATCTACATGAGAAAATCTCTATAGACGTATTTTTATTTTTTCGCATGTCCCCATTATTCTTATCACATTCTCATTGGTAATGCGTTTTGTCCAAGGAATGTTCAGGTCTGCGGAAGACCCACATTTCAAATGCTTTCAGTCGTTGCATTATTTTCCTTCCCATTGTCCAAGAAATCGTGCCGTATAACAGAATAGAATAAATGTATGTTTTCACAAAACGGAATCGAATACCCAGTGACAGAGTATAATTTGTAAGGAATGTCTTCATTCTCACGAAGAATGTTTGATTTCTGCTTTTGTTTTTAATATATTTATTGTAAGGCCATGTTGATCACCTGATTCTACAATTGCTACAAGCGGGCATAATTTCCATCTAGTTAAAGTGAGTGCTTTTTTTTTACATTTTAATAAACTTAGGGTCCTGAAAGAGGGTCGAAAAGAAATACCTAAAAAGAGCTCAACAGTATGACTTCTTTGACGTCGTCGGTTAGTTTAATAAGCGTCCAACGACCCAGTGAAAACCATATCTCATTATCTTCCATCCTAACCTAAAATATAAGTGCGATTGCCATTACCAAAATGTTTAAAAGGCGCAAATTTTTTTAAAGATAATCAAGATACCTAGGAAACTAATAGTAAACTATAGGGGAACCTAAAGACACTTATCAAAAAATATCCCGAAAAGAACCAATCGACTGGTTGTTCTATTTAAAATAAGGCAGTTAGGCGCAGTCAGCGACTTAAGGAAACCTTCTACAATGGTAACTATCTTCGCTAATGTTTACTTGTCGATAATTTTTCAAATAAAAGGTTAAGTAACCAAAAACAATTTAAGTGTAAATGTCAAATCTTATTACGTTTTAATAAACTAAGAATTTAATTTAATTTACCGCGGAAAAAATATAGAGTATATACATAATGTAGGAACCAAGTAGAAAAAATCGAAATCTACTCTCTTGAAGCACAATCATTCTCATGACCTTAATTCTCAAAAGAAATAAGGAGACTTAATTCTACTATCTTTTATCGCGTGTACTTTTTGGTTAGACCGTAACACGTTTAACAATAGACCTGGGCAAAGTTTTCAATTTTCCGCCTCTTGAATTTGTAACGAACCCCTTATGGGGTTGTGACGACAGTGATGTATGGGGGACGTTTGTTTCGAAAATGGAACCCTTCCTCGCCAAAGCCGCCGTGTGTGTCGCTAACGACCGGACCTAAAAGCGCCATTTTTGCTGTCCATAACGCCAAATTTAGGCTGGAACGCGTACAATCCGAGACAACTGCCCGGCGATCTGGATATTTTTGATTAGACCCGACAACACCGCGAAAGTATGGGTCGTGTATCCCTCTTGAAATGGACGTAATTCATTTCGAGAGGGTAATTGAGGGAAATACATTTTCAGGGATTATAATGGCAAATAAAACGAATGACGAAAAATGAAAAAGACGAATAATATAATAATAATAATCGTCTATCCTTCATAAATGCTGATTACACGGAATAGTATTTTCAGTATTGCAGAGTTGTCAGGTCCAGGAGTGTACCTCTGGCTATCTTGTATCCTTTTACCCCAGAATTTATGAAATAACAATTCATTAACATTGTTAAAAAAATAATTAGAAATCCGCTGAAAATTGCTATACGGACAACCATAGTCAATCGATGTAGAATGAAATTATGCATCGCCAAATAGTAAAAGACAGGGTGTAGTATTTAAAAAAAAATAAGTCTGCAGCTTTACGAATTATGTAATTGTTTGGTAAGTTTTGGACTCCCTGTAAGCGATTAGTCAATTCTCTTCGTCAGTCGTTTTCGTCTGCTATGTATACGGGCGATTACCACCAGTAAAAAATATTTAGAAGGCGCCTTGGTCGAAAAAATTGTTAACTCTACCGAATCTCTTAACCAGGAATTAACGCGTTCTTCCCTTAACTAATTTCCATTATCAAGGCACTATACGTTCGATGATAACGACTCACACAAAGCAACTTGAACAGTAATGCCAACTTTAAGTTGGCATTACTGTTCAAGATGGTTCAGTTTGGTATGGCAATTCATCATGAATAGACTCACGCCTGAACAACGCTTGCACATGGGCCCAAAACGAGATTGCCGTTGTAAATGAACAACTCCTAATAAAGTTATGAGGAAGAGATGGATGACGACCGAAATTAAGAACCTCATGAAAGACGAGACCAGAAAACGAAGAATGAAGCAAAATAAAATGAATTGAATCAAAAGATCAAAAGAAAAATCAAGAAAGCTAAAGAGGGATGGTTGTCCGAAAATTGTAAATAAATAGGAGAATACGAAAAAAGATATGACACCTTCAATATGCATAAAAAGATTAAAGAATTAAGCTTCCACACTAAGAGATAAAGAAGGGAAACTCATTATTGACATGAAAGACAAACTAAAGAGATGGACAGAATACAAAGAAGAACCTGTTGGATGTGCAAGGATGAAAGAGCAGAAATGGAAATCATACCAAATGAAACAGGTCCGAAAAGTAGAATACGCCATTAAAAATTGTAAAACCAGGAAATCTGTAGCACCAGATGGGATTCCAGTGACTCATAGATCTTAGCACAATTGACATAATGGTCAACCCATTTAATACCATTTATAGAATAGGCATCGCTCCAGAAAAGTGGCTTTCATCAACATTTATGGCTCTCCAAGTGTTCAGAATCAATGAATGAAAGTATTTCTGAAGATAATTCATAAATGAATATTTAAAAAGCTTGAGGAAGGCATAAGCGACACCCAACTGGGATTTAGAAATCGACTAGGAACACGGGAAGCTTTATTTGGTGTGAATATATTGATGCAAAGA